ATATAATACGTTTAGGTTAATTGGCAATCATAAGATACTCTCTGTGTAGCGTCGTGTGAGATGCGGAGTGTGGCAGTGATTGTCGCGTGCCTCGATAATCTACGTTGATCGAACATGTCTGATAAGTTACTTGCGGTATACGTGACATAGAGAGAGAGATATAGATATATATAGATACTGAAGTATCGTACTATATGTTCTTTCTTCCTATTTGTAGCACATGCCATGGCGAATTGTCATAACTTCTTTCATTGAGAGAAGGGATGAGGCCGGGACTTCATCTACGATTCATCGTGAGGTGGACAAGCTTGAGTAAGGTATGATTTTCCAATCCATACACGGTGACACAACCTTGGCAGATATAGAGAGTATTAACTGTCTAGCGCATCGGAAGGCGTTCTATCGTGTTTTTTCTTACAGCTAGCTCGCTCTGCCCCTTTGCTACAAGTGGTGGAAATTATGATACATAGCGGTTACAATTATTGAACGTAGTAATCTAGAAGTTATAGACATAAACATATAGAAAGACGTTCGGCCGCCTATGGATCTACGATAAAGATATTCGCATAAACAGATTTTTGATAGTCAAGTTGGATTTCTTTTCCCTCCTCACCTGTTCTGTAATTACATAATATAGATAGATATTATATATGAGAGAAGGAACGAAGAGAATCTCCTGGCACGGGCAAAGCACATCTAACGCGAGCGGGCGACGAGCCAGGGAGTTTCCGGAACGACGATGTTGAAATCATTTGATCTGGAGCTGGTGTATCTTCATTCGCTCGCTTGAGCTCACTATATGAGAGGGCTCTTATAATTATGCAACGTCATTAGGTTTGGATACACAACAGCCGTGAATAATAATCGCTATAGGTTTATAGGATTGCGTCTCACTTAGATTCTCATTTGGCTAGGGGCGTAAATTCGGCCCTTTCACGACCCTCGACACTCGGAGGGGATATAGAAGCATCGACATAACCGACTTCCTAACGCGAGGACAACCACCAAACACTCTTAGCAGGCTATTTTCCGGCGACGCAGGTTAGCTGTACTTACCCGGATAAGAGATGTTCCAGGATAGATTCGATAGAAGAGAGAGATATATATATCTATGTAACGTGATCCATCTCCGAGCATATAATAGTTATGCTACAAAATATGCACTACAAAAGCATATATAAGAAATTGGTTTCTTGAACACTGGGTAAATAGAGAGATATTGTATATGGCAGTCAAGATAATTCGTTATTTGACTGGCCTGGTTACTATCAGCTGGAATATAATAGTATAGATATAAATAGAAGATAGATCCATCATAAGCATGATATTTCTGTGCAATCAGAGATTATACTGGGCGGGCCCTTCAGGGTGGAGCTACAGATATAAGAGAGAGATAGGATGAGAGAATAGATAATATATATAGGAGGAGAGTAATATAATATATGAAATGGCGATATCTTTAAGAGATTATCGTAGTCTGGGGGCATCAGATAGCACTTGGTGGAACGCGTGTAGATGATATTCGGGCAGTAGTGTGATTAGGCTCTGTGTTTTCTCGGTGTCGCGAGATTGGGGGGGTGCGAATTCTCGCTCCACAGTGCGAGGGTACGAAGAGGAGATAGAGAACGAAGAGGTGAAAAATCATGGTGACTATGTAGATTGTGGTTCACTTTCCACTCTGTGGGTGTTCTATATTATACAGGTGTAAATTCCTTCTCCTTTATTGATAGTCGTCTCTCGCGCACGTACAATCATTTGTCTGACTCCTGCGGCATGGGAGAGCAAAGCTTGTGAGTTTAGGGGGTGTACATCGGGAATAATTGAAAGGCTATAGTGGATGTGTGGAGTAAGATCCAGCGAGTAATACGCGACAATGTCATATGTGGAGTGGCGGAGGTATATAGAAATATACGAAAAGAACTACAGTATTTGCTTCCACCTTCATAGAGACTCTTTGGAAGACACACATGGCGCAGTGACACTGGTAAAACCCTGGGACAACAGACAGGCAAACTCGTTCGGACCCATTGTCAGCCGCCATCTTTACTCTCGTATCTCACGGATAATCGGCTCTTCTCTGCAATTTGTGGTGTTTCAGTGCAAGCAATTTACTCGTCAGTGCATCGTGTTGCGTCTTCAGGACAGTGTTGACAGTTTTGCATTAAGTGCTGTGCAGTGTTTATTCTCTCGTCATGTTTCGGAGCTTACTGCCGCGCACCAAAAAGGCGGTGACTCTCCTAACCCGCATTCTGTCGCACACGCGCAACTGACCGCACACATGCATGCACTCACTGAACAATATTTTTGTAATAAAACGTTCTTTTTCTTTGCTGTTGTAAATTCCTGTGTTAGTCATAGCTCTCAGTCTGACATTATGGAACATTTGCCCTTCCATGACGTGTCTGCCGACAACCCACAAGCCAGCAGTCGACTCCTGACGGACTTTATGCAGCCAATCCCCACGGTGACCCCTTGGGTCCCCCCACCGCAAAACAGCGCTCTCCGCGGATGCAACCTTTAATGCCTCACTACACGAGTGCAGAAACTCCTAGCCCTGACTTCCTTCACATGCTGTGATATATTGAAGAAACCAGACTCGCAGAATTCAAGGCCGAGGAAAATCGTTGTCAAGATGAACAAAAATGGCGAGAAGAGGAGCAGAAATGCCGTGAAGAGGAAAGAAGATGGAGACAAGAAGCTGAAGGATGACAGGCAGACTCTGAGTGATTCCTTCTAATGATGCAAGGGTTCCAAGCTGCCAACCAGGCCTTGCTCATATCTAATGCACCTGGCCTGCACACCTATCCAGCCCAGGCTCATCATAGCCTACACTGGACCCCACAGTCACTCCCTACGTCCTGCCATCTCCTCAGCAACGTGTTCGACTTCTACCAATGGGATTCCTGAGACTTCTGCTACGGGTACACTTAACACGGCACCGACAATAATGTCCACAGCGTCTTAAGCTCTCAGGCAACAGTTACGCCATCTGCAGGCAAACCTATGGCCCACAACCCACTACTCCAGCCAAGCTGATGCCTGTTACCAGGTTTTTAGGCAGTGGCAGCCATTAGTCAGATTACTCGACAATGATTGACAGTGCCAAACTGTCACCAGTGAAGCAACTAATCCAATTATGGATATCAGTATCCTTGAGGTCCAGCGAATCCTTGAACACTCCCGACACTAATCTCTGTGGATGCAGTTCTCGACGCCCTCCAAGACTTCTTCAAAGATCAAAGAAACGAGGCACTACATCGTCGGGAACTTCTTTACTGCCGTCAAGCGGAGGGAGAAAACTTTGGAAGTTTTTATGTGAGGCTCAGAGCTGTGCTGAGAAGTTGACCTTTGTCCAGGCCACTCTGTCACATGCGCTGGGACACAGCTGAAAATGGTCATCCTCATGGGTGTCAGGGACGAGGAGCTTATTCAACGATTGATTTCCCTTGATGCCAGTGCTCTTCTGCAAGATATAGTAACCACTGCAGATCTTACGAGTCCACCCATACAACAGCATCAGCGATCCACGCCTTTCCTAGCCAGATGTATGTAGTTTCTTCCTATAAGCACCAAAAAAGATGGAAGAGAACCCAGACAACTTCAGCTTCAGGACTAAAAGGAAACTGCATCGCAACAATCTTCAGGCCAACCAATAATATAATGAACACTTGACGAAGTGAGTGTACCAGCGCGAAGAGCAGATAATGTTTGCTTAGACCGGAAGTAGGAGGGAAAATGACAGGTTGGCTAATTTTGAAGATTTATTATCGCCTAAATCATTCCCACTGTAAAAGAGAAGTCAGTTCTGTCGCCCAATTCCTAACAATTTGTTATCATGGCTGGAAAATACTCCGTTGTCTACAAAATGTGCCAGTAGCATTCATTAGGCTCCTGGTTAGTCTTCATTAGAGTTCAAATAGTGTTTATATTGATGATCATGGTACTGATACTCAGAAAGATAGATATATAGAGGGTCATATTATCCATGTACATGAAATATGAAGGGAAAGAAAATTACCCTAAAGATAATACAGAATACATTTCCAGTGTCATATTTAGTGGAAATGAACAGCATTCACTGTAGAACGAAGAATGATTTCGTTTAACTTCAAGGTTTATGAAGGTCACAATTATGATGTATCAGATATTCATTTTATTCTTAAATGCCATTTTTAGCACAAAGCTAGCGTGTAGACGTCAAGGTAGATGAGTGGTCTGTCTGGCGACATTGCAAGTGCGTGGACTGAGTTCCAAACCTTCACCTGACATTAACACGCAAAATTTGCCTTAGGAACTGGACATAAAATTTTACAATTCGTCCCTGTTTTCACTAACCTATGTAAGTGCAAAAAGTTACTTTTACTGAAATTGAGTTTAATGTCTTTTAAAAACTGTAAAATCCCTAACTACATCATGATACCGCATGCCATATCTCAGTATCGGAAAGAAATTAGGTCACATAAATTTGAGACAAAACAGGCAGTGGTACACTGACATCAAATCCACATAAAACTCAAAATCGACAAATTGGTTACGCCGGTTCGTGAAAACAAGGACGAACTGTTCTACATTCACGCAATACCTCTCATACAAACTCCATTGCAGGAATGGCTAGGGCAATGATTTGCATTTGGCGGTGAGACACAATTGCCGCAATGGAATCACCTTCCTAATCTCATAACAATAAATCAATTTGAACTTGCTAGTATCGAGGCCCTTTTGGTCTTTCGCTGCACGATGGCAGTTGTTACCATTCTATTACAACAGCGTCCTCAGCAGAAGCAGTTCGCGAAAGTTGGAAAGGGTGGGTGCAGAATGATATGGCTCATCCTGGTAATGCTAACCTGACTTCGCTGCAGAGGAATAATAGGCAACAAACATTTATATGAACTTTCCAAACATATATAAAAGTGTGTGGGATAATTATTTTCTTTGGTAACCCAACTTCGTATGCTAGAATATAATAGAAATCCTTATGTAAGGTGCTCTCTTTCCTCTTGTCACTCTGAATGCCCAGGGGAGGATTGAAATGCATTTTCCAAGTCACTCAGAGATTTTCCAGGGGTTTCGGGTAAGAAGGCCCAAAGCAATAGTGTTAAGATGGCATTCGCTGAAGAGAAGACCAGGAGTGCATAGCCAAGACCTATTTCCATCAAATATGGGAAGACAAAACTGATGACAAAGGTGAATAATGAGAAACTCAAATAGCACAGCGAACTTCCAATATTTCTCACAGGAGTGGGAATGAGCTCGCCCATAAGAGTCCAGGGAATGGGTCCGATTCCAAGGCCGTACGAGGACACGAAAACCATCACCGCAGCAAGCGGGACCCACGACGACCCTGGGACGTCCACCAGCAGGAACACCGCGCCGACAACCTCGGCTGCTCCGCACACGAAAGACGTGGCGATCAGCAGAGGCCGACGCCCGACGCGGTCCACGACCGCCGCGCTGACCACTGTGAAGACGAGCCTCACGACGCCCACTAGGATTGCAGACAAAGGCGTCCAGGCCGACGCCTGCCTTCTGGAACATGTACACCGTGTAGGAGAACATCACGAATTGCCCTCCGAGCTCCCTCAGGGTGAACACCGCCGCCAGCAGAACTGGACGATAATTTTGAGGACGGGCAGGTTGTCTGATCTGTCAAAAAGAAACCCATTACACACATATACACACACATATATATAATTGAGATTTTTAAAGTAATATCCCATATATCATTCAGTGATTATTTCGAGATCGTTATTTATTCAATATTTAAAAGATGCTTTGGTTCTAATAGTAAAGATGTATGCCCGGCACTGAAAACATTTAACGTATATTTTTTGAGGGTGTATAAGTATAGCAAAATTTATTGTTATAACATATAGAGTAAATTATAACCATTTATGAATGGTTGCTTTGTTTAAATGTTAACAATTCACTGGTGGAGGAAATGATAAGTAGGTTGTTTTAATGATCTTCCCTTAGACGGCCTCAAGCTCTCACCCCGAACATAGGGTTAGTGCTAATAAGAAAAGTCGTGTATTACCCTGTTGTTATTGATTGCAATGCTTGATAAATGAATTTAAATGATAGGGGAATCCCTATGGGCGTCTTCTGTACGTGCCATAATAGTTAATCCAGTATTAAAGTTAATCCAGACTTCTAGTGCACATGCCCATTGGCAGCGTCCAGGATCAACTTTTATTGCACCTCTAGACCAGGCTTAACATTAAGCACATTTTTAAATCCTGCACATGCGCAGAAGGGACAAGTTAATCCCACCAATCATATACTGTTGTAGTTGCCATTCAGTTATTTTCGGCAATAACACCGATCGTCTTAGAATTTTCATACGAAATAATTCTGAAAATGAAATATATATTTTATACATCTAATCAAATATTCTGATAAAGGAAATAATCCCACGAGAAATCTTATAAGTTCAGAGGCTGCGGTCAAGGAACTCGTATTTCCAGGTTTGTGAAACAAAAAATATATGGTCAAGGTCACAGAAGTTGACGTTTTAAATCAAATATGAACCAGTGTTTTAAAAAAGAATTAGGTGCTGAGTTTTTCTCAATTATTTTACTACAAAATTAGCAATTATACTTTCCTATGCACCCCGTGAACAGCATCCTGAAGAAAACATGTTTACCTCGTCCAACATGATTCAACGTGGCTAAGAGCTGTCCGAGGAAATTGCGTGATGGATATTAATTGTTTAATGTCATTTTTGTACTTGAGTGTCATTGAAAAAATATAGGTTTTATAGTTGTTAGAGCAGTTTCGTTACCCATTTTAATAGTACAAATATAAGCTCTCATAAATAATCATGTTTCCCTCATAAGTAGGCCTACTTATGCCTCGTAATTATCATATCTTGAGTGACTGACTACAACTTTCTATAACAATCACCTTTTCTCCAATCCATGAAAATGAATATCAGTTGTCAGAAAAAAAATAACAATGCAGTGTCTGAAAGCAAATTGCAAGGTTCATTTATCCAAGTAAATTTTATACCGGACTGCAAATCTTTCGGTAATATACTTAATATTGTCTTCTATATAATCTATGTAGGGACATGAAGGGTGTGTGTTGAATAGATATCTTTTGGATGATTCTGTTGCTTATTTACAGATATGAGTGGATGATTTGCTCCAGACGCTACCCTACACAACATGCAACAGTTATGTGAAGAGAACATTGCACAGAAATGTTTCAAAATACCACAGATTGTTCAACAATAAAAAGACAACATACCTCAGCTCCCACACTTTAGATTTGTAAAACCTATTCCCACACGCCCAGATATACGAGACCAGGATCTTCACATCAACAGCAGAGGGCAGAATCATCACTACATCACAGACCAGGAATATCACAAAAATTTATAGAAATTTAAAGAGACAGTCCATTAACATAAGATTCTGAACAAATCATATTTGAAACAGATAATCCTGAAGAAATGTGTACAGATAATAGAGGTACGAACTGTTTACTTTAATATGATGCGAGTCTTATTTTTCAATTTTGAGAACATTAGGAGGCATAAAGAATTGATTAATAATATGAATAAGTTTTTTAATGCCTTGTCTTCAAACATGGTAGGTACGTCTGGGATGAAGGGAAGGAAAAGGTGGTCTTCAGAAGTATATTATTTACAGAACACTTTAAACAATTAGGGGACAAAGCAGTGCATAGATTTAAAAAAAAAAATGGAAGATATTTATGAAAACATTAGTACGAGTCTCAGGTTCATGAAATACACATTAAAAATAATAGATATTTTGAAACCTAAGGGACATCTAAACATGAAATCTCCCAAAAGAGCGAATTTCACGCGCGACATTTCTCTTCTCTCTCCGACATGTTTTACAAGATAACAGTGGTGATAAAATAACGAGTATGACAGTTTTTACTGAACATTATTGTCGCGCGGTCTGGCAGCAGAGATTGTCGTCTTCGGTACGGACAAGGTGTATTAGGTTTAAACTAAATATGGTATTAAGAGTTAAGGACGCTACAGAAAACGCCCTATATGAAACTGTTATAATTCAGATGGCCTGCTGCTCTCCCTCAAACACAGAGAGAAGAAAAGTTTGAGAAAATTTGTGGCAAAAACATGCCTTGATGCCTAGTTAGGAAAGTTATTTATTTATTTATTTTGGCCTGTGGATACAGCAACGGAATTAATCAAAGGAGACAGTTTTGGTGGCGTCAAGGAATAGGCTGAGAATGGAATTATTTATTAATGTTAAGTGTAAGAGAGGAAAATTACGAAGGTTAACAGGAATGGATCGATTACCTTATATACAAGTAAAATAATGAAAAGATACTGGTAGAGTGGGGGTGAGGGTCTAGACCCCCTCTCACGTTTGTTTTTATTATGCTTAGATTAATGCTGATTGATCTATAATTAATAGGAAAAGAGTGTAGATTAGATTCAAGGTTAGAGTTAAGTTAAGTTAGAGAATATTGCTAGTTTTTATTATAATAGTTATTGCTAAGATTTACAGTATGATATGCCACATTATTAATATTTATTTATTGAATAAAAAGTGATTGGTTATGAATGTTTCTACGCCCATTGTATATTTGGCACACATTCACCAGAGGAATTAATTCAATCCATCCCAAGAGCTTTAACACCGTTGGGTTATGCTACCCATATTAAGATTAGGTAAGTAAAAATCGGGTTTCTAAAACGGTCTGTTTATTTAAATAACGTGTAATCTTTTTTGGGGAGTTTATTTAAATAATATATTTTATATCCATTGAATGTAGAAATATATAATATACCCATGATATATTCTTCTATTTAGATATAGGTTGGTGTTATTCCATTCAAATTGAGCAAAGTGTAACAAAGCAAACCTGCTAAATCTGGATGATTGAACTGCCAACCAGGGAAATTAGATAAAAAAATATATATATATTCCTAGAGTATATATATAATTATATATATATATATATTTACATATACACATACATATATATATACATATATACATATATACATATATACATGTACATATATATACATGTTACATATACATATATATGTACATATATAATATATATATATATATATATATAATATATATATATAATATATATATATAATATACATACATATATATATATATATATATATATACATACATACTATATATATACATATATATATATATATATATATATATATATATATATAATGTGTGTATCATGACATCTTTACCTGATCCCATATTGAAGGCTGGGATGTTCCTTGGACGTTTGCTGAAATTTCTTGAAGTTCAAGGTTAACGTCTTGTTTTGGACTTCTTAACTTCTTGAGAGACTCCAACGCAGCGTCCTTCTGGCCTCGGCGAATCAGCCAATAGGGGGACTAGAAGACAAGTACAATATTTATGAGTAAATAAGATCAAACTTTATTTTTTCATGTTTATTTGGCAAAAATTAAATATTGTTTGTAGGATCCAAAAACTCCAAACGCTCTATATGTATCATGGTCATTGCAAGACACAATTACTATTGGAATTTGCACTGACATACAAAGTTTTGAGAAAAAAAAATATTTCTTCATTTCACAAAAGAAAGTCAATTGAAAACCTTTAATGTATTTAATATGCAGGTATGATATTCAATTACAAGCAAAATATTGTAGAAGATTCAAATAAAATGGAAAAGGAACTTGACTACTCTGAAAGTATGATGGTTTATACACTCTCCTTTCAAATGTATTTCTCAGATTGTCTAGATATTTTTTCTTATTACATTGTTCTTCATATGAAAGATAGAAGTTGAATGATATTTTGCATCTTATCGTATCTACCGTGAGTGAGCTCTATGTCCGAATCATATAACTAGATAATACTAATGATCAGAGATATTTGTCTTACTGATTAAATTATATCAACAAATCAAGATGCCCAGACTATTCTGTGATATTTTTGTAAGGTATCATAGAGGTACAATTGATTTTGAAGACATTTATCTCACCGAAGCCAATACCACGTCATATGATTCGGATTCGTTGGAAATTCTTACCACGTCGTTCCAGTGACCGTCACGATGGGCTTCAAATTTTACCCATACCGAGTGAACAAGTATTTGATGTACTGCTAAAAGACACATGAACATTTTATGCACCTTTAAAACAGAATTTTGTATCAATAAAATCACGATATGATTCGTAATTAATGAAAATATAAATTCCCATCTGAACCTGCGTGAAATATATTTTGAAAATATCTGATTGGCTGGCCGGAGTTTATCACGG